AATTAACAGTTAACTAAATCCGTTAATACAATAAAAGCATATGCTATTACAAAATTTCTCTAGGTGAGAGAAATGCAGAAATATAAAATTAGCAAATATTATTTATTAAACATTCCATTTTTCAGCAAAAGTTGTTTTTAATACATAAGATGCAATTGAAATGTTTTTGACTACTGAATTTGCATATCGAAAATAACGATAAAATATTAGAAAAAGTGAATTTGTTAATTAATTCATAAAATAGGATTAAACTAGGAGAAACAAAAACAGGAGAGGCAAATTCTTACTTTTTAGGTAGAGCAGAAAACAACCGGTAACTTTACACAAATATACAAAGATATTTAATAATTATCTCTTCTATTACTCATTGTTTATGCATTTCATGACTGTTATTAAGTAAAGACAGCTTTCATTGTACATAACGGCATATCTAAATAATATAGAAAAAAGAAAAATGTCACACGTGAGAAACGGAAAGTCTTCTTGACACTCTCCAAAAATAAAGTCTCGTGAAACTAATATCACGTTATTCTAGCAACATTATTTCTGCAACAAGTCATTCAATTAATCCCCGCATTTATTTTGTCGAGACAAAATGGCGTGGTGAGATACTCACGTCTCGCGATACCAAAAGGACAGACCGCCATGCGTAATCCTTTGACGGAGATAACTCGCAAAAACAGCACTTTCTCTCTCCCTCTTTCTCCTCCTCTTTTTTCCCCTTTTCTTCCAAACACTACAAATCGACGCACCAATCAATTCTCACTAAATCACACGAAACATCTATAAACTACTCGTCGAACTTCCGCTGAAATCACTTTATCTCCATCGTTCGCGGCCTACGCTGCGCCTGTCGATCTAATATCGATGCCATGTCTTTGAAAGAATATAACATCCGACAACTCTCTTGACAGGATTTGTCAGATCCATCCTCCTGCCGCGGAAATCTATCGATCGCCATCCCATGGATCCCGTAAATCCCTCGGAACCTTCTGTTACATTCTTTCACAGAAAAAGAATTTTTCCCGGATGAATTTCATCGTTGACTAAGCTGCAAATTGTTCTTCTCAAATGAGCACAATTCTTTTCAATAACAGGGTTGTTCCTTAAAAATGGATGATTCGCGATTATTTTCGACAGATATCAAGGCAGAGAAATCAATGATTTACTTCGGCGTATAAAGAAAATTCTTCCCGAACTCAAACTTCACCCGATATGAAGAACTCGTCACTTTCCTCAGTAAGCAGGATTCTTGCACTTATCCTCGAGAGGAGAAAAATTTCGCCTACACGAGCGGGATTGACGATTTTTTTTAATATCAATAAAATCCTTTTTGGGCGTGAAAGATATATTTTGCTAAGGACGATCTCGAGAAATAGTAAATTTTCCGAAGCACATGAGCGAAGTCGCTCGAACGAGCGTTCTTCTTTAGCTTGGAAAAGGACACTCGATCATCTGGAAATAATTCGCGATCTTTTTCGACGAAACATCTCTTTTCGCATGGACAAAATGAGTTCTCACGATGTTCTTCAATAGAGCGCGAATTCACACTTTTCTTCGCGGCAGAATATCCCTATGAATATCACGGATAACCTCACTGATTCTAATCTTATCGATCCGCTTTTGTTTTCCCTCAACATATGAATCCACATCTCATTTTCTTCGGCGATTAATCATTCAGCACTGAACCGCTAACTCACGTTGCTACGACTCTTTGGAGCGATCAGAACCAATAACGCCGCACAAAATGTTTCCTCATTGAACACGACACGCCTTCTTTCGCGATATGTCACGGTGATTCCACACCGCAAAACGTAGAGATCCACGTCTCTCGAACCAAAACGAGATGTTTCTCCGTAAAGAATCGCACGTGAATACCGTTCACTTTGCACATAATTTTCATCCTCGCGACGTCACAACAGCCATCTCACGTTTCGTCCTTCTTGAAATGCGATTCCAACTTTTTTCAGCTAGCCTGTCCAATCGCTCAACAAGTACATCGACGATCCACTTTCAAGCTAAACCACTCACACTCGTAAACACATGAATGCTTCTCGATTTTCTCCGTTTACGCGTTTCTTCTCTCTTTTCCACTTTCGAAGGCAAGTGCTACATTCGTGCATGTTCTGAATGATTGGGCCAATGACATCTGCACGATTTTCTCCGATGAGTCTATCCGCATGTTGCTCTTGCACACTCAGGGTCAAGTATAGATATCCGCTTTTCCTCCACCTATACGACACTCGCTAACAAGTCCGCCAGATGGATCAACTTGTAATCAACGCTTTTCCTCCCTTAACTCGAAACATATCTGTCCTCTTTTCATCGCCGGCCCACGCGATATCCTACGTCGAGGCACCACAATCTTTACTGTCTCAACATATAAAACGCCTCTCCGTTCCTCGCAACGAGAGATGAATCAAGCACGATTTCTTCTTTTCGTCGAAGTGTGAACTCACACCTCTTTATCTCACGTAAATTCTTCTCACTTTCTTATCGTAATTATGATTACGATCGAGTAGGAATTTTTCACAGTTGAAGCGGAGACACGTTTATCAAGGACGATCCACGGAAATTTGCGGAGGAGGAATTCGAGCGGAAACGACGCGGTAACCCAGTTTCGAGCGCCGCTCCTCCCGATATGCAGCGCATAAAAATGGCTCCAGAAGCAGCAGCGTCGTGACGTCGCAACGTTCCGCGAATCCGGATAAACTCGGGATGCTCGCTGGATCCCAGCTGATCCCACTGTGCAGCAGCGTCGCGACTTGTCGATTCGTTTCCGGGCACCATTCCGCTTTCTACCTGATCACCGGAAGCTCCCTCGCAACAACAATACCATGAGAAAGGACAATGAACAGAAAGCGAATGGAGAGAAACGGATCATCCCGAGAGGAAAGCATCTAGATCTCCAACGGACTCCTCTCCCGACTTCTCTGCGAGGGACACGAAATAACCTCCGCGTAAGCAAAATGGTGGACGACACTCCCGAGAGTCAAGCCGCGCATCCGCTCTGCTTAGTTTCTACCCGGCGAGCACCCGATTGCACGTCCGGTGACGTCGCAAACTCGCACGAACACTTTCGGAGGATACTGTACTCGCGTCCGAGACACTGTAGGAAGCCCCCGGGATTCGCCCCGGAGACGCGCAGCCCTTCGAAATGGACTTTCCACACCGCTTCCACTTCGACGCGCGATTCTCACTTCGATACGTGCGTGCGCGCGCGCGCCCTTGCTCGGCCGCGTGTTCACACTCTTTCACGGCAACGCACTCGGTGTCGCAACCTCCTGGCCGTCGCCAATCGCCTTCAGCGTCGTGGATGAGACCGTGAAGCTCATCGGCAGCGTCGGCAAGATCCTCGCCGAGAGCATTCCAGGGAGGGTGGACCGCACACGCCACGCCACCTGGCGACCTCGCGGTATACACAACCTCTCGTCATGGCGGCCCGACCAACCCCCGAGTCAATAACAGGGCCAGCGAACAAAGATCCCGAGACCGCGGCTCCCACGCGGTGTCATACAGAACGACGTCATCTCCTTAACATGCAGCGAACACGGATATCGCAACTGATACCCTTTGTAAAGGCGCTGGACACCTCGAAACCTCCCTCGTCTGCCTGCGTCCCCGTTTCTTTCTTTCCCTTTTTTTTATCCACACGCGATCAAGACCACCCTCTTCGAGGTACTCGGGCGGCTGCGCGATTTGCACTGAGCGCACCCCCGCATGGGAACCAAGAGGGTGCGAGCGGTGGCCAGGGGTGTGACTAGGAATCCTGGCGAATGTATGGAGAGAGTACGCTTCGATAACACCCGCATCTTTCGTTGCGATCAATTTTCGAATTTAATTATTGTCCACGTGAAGATAAAATGTTGCGCGACAAATAACAAATTCTAAATGATCTCGTTCGAAAGATATTTCCCTCTATTTATTTTCCATGTATATATCAAAGAAATATTTAACTATTGTACTTTGTTTATTTTATCGATAACCTTATTTATAGTTTATACGCTAGTGAAGATACATAATGAAATATTTATGACGATAAATGAAATTTTTACTGATGAATTTCGTATCATCCGCAAGTTATTGAAAAGCGAACCCTGAAGACGTTCCTGTCGAGGCTACACGAGCATCGTCGGAAATACGCGAGGTCCGCAACGAAGCGTCCCGATGCTTTCGCGGACGCGTCGCGCTGTTTTAGGGATTTTTCCGGACGGGGTGATGAGAAGGCAAAAAGGAGAAATGATAGTATGAAAACGGAAGTACACGAAAAAAAAGTTGTTTTGTCGCTAGAATTGGATATGAATAATCGGAGAAGGTATTCGTGCGAAGAGATGGTTTTTGGGTAAATTGGTACTTTTGATTACGAACGAAAGAATGCAAGTGGTCGCGAAGAAGAAATATGAACTATGAAATTCCAAAAAATAAAAAATTTTACCACAGCGATAAGATGAACATTTAGGGTAACTCCGGTAAATACGCTGCAGCTAAGGAAATTAATTTATTAAATATTATTTATTATGTTTAAGGCAAATTAATTATACAAATGAAAACTGTATATTGCCTAATATTAAAAAAAAATTGGTAATACGAAATGTTTACTTTTCATGTTTTACAAAAAAACTTTTAGAAATCTTTGTATTTTTGCCATATATCTTATAGGGATAAGAAACACGACTATGGATGAGATATACGGCTTATAAGAAATTTACAAATAATACTTATAAATAAGACGTAAAATGATACAGCAACTTATAAAATGTAGGTAAACTGTTAATTAGGATATAAAAATGTGCAATAAATATATGAGAAGCAATAATAAAAGTAATGTATAAATGTTTATTATAAAGAAAAATTCTGTCTTACAGATGTTAATGCAATAACATTTGCAATATTTACTATACAAATCAAACCTGAAATGCTTCCTTACAGAGCGTTTATACTGCGGCATAAATCCCGCACGCTAAAAATACTATATATTCCAAACAGGTGGGATCTACATCTACTTTCATATTCTCTACAATAATCATTTCAAGCAGGTTCTAATATACGATTACGCTACTTACTACATTGAGAAATCAATACAATTCACGAGAGTTTCGTAATATTAGCAATAAAAAACTGAAATTATAACACAATACCAACATAACATAAAGGCTTATAACAGAGTGGTTGCAGGTAAATTACTCCGACTCTTTCCGACTTCTGTGGCGTAAATCCCCGCGCGGCGTAAATATCGGATTTATTTAGGAACATTGTGAAAATAAAAGAAGAATTTGTATCTCCATATTATGTTAATTTGACGTAAAATAAAATAAGCGCGAAAAATGTCGCCTCGTTATGGTTGAAATGCAGCGTATCAAATATACTAAAGATAAATGTCGGAGAATTTTTCAAACTGTTTGATATTAAACTAGACTAATTTGGTATATATTCTGATGTAGCGACGTCGCATTAATCTAGCGTGGAAACGTCCTTGAAGATGTGAAACGCTTGTGCGGTTATTTTCGCGTTGAGGCAATAAATTTGCAAAGACCGTCGGAATTTCGGTATTTTCATTAGCTAGGAGCGCTCGACGTGTTTTCGCGATAAGAATGCAATCGCCGTCAATCACTACTACAATTTCTAACCAATATTTGCACGCCGCCGGGTATTTTCCCAAAACCAAAAGCCACATCACCGTCAGGAGCGGCTTTATACATAGATAGCTACACATTTCTTTTAAAAAAGATTAACATTTAGATATTCAATAGCGCTCTGTTAATATTACTATAGATAATGACACATTTATAAATAGCAGAATTACACTTAAGAAACATTAAATTGAAATAATAACGATTCTTGCATTAATATAAACGATTGTAAGCATTACATACTAATAAAACTATATGTTTAGAAGACGAAATTGATAGCTCGCTGTTTGGAAACTTTATATACTTCGAATGCTTTAATATTAAGATATTTGTATATAATTGTGAAATCTTATATAGTATTTAAGGTCTATATTTTCTTAGTCTAGTTTCATAGTCTGAATTTATCGATCGTAAATTTAAATGTTTCGGCAACTTTCAATTTATATAGAATTTGGAAATTTTTTAATTTTGTACATTTGAGACTCGAAATTTGTTGTCATTTTCGTTATTAAATCTCAGAGCTTTCGGATTTCCGCGAGTTCAAAATTATATGGCATTAGTCGTCCCTGACTATTCTTTTTACAGATTGCCATCGTTGGAAACATGACTGAACGCGAATCATCAAATCACGCGACACATGATGAAGTTATAAATAAATCGCATCCTTATCGGAATGTAAATGCACCTCGGTTCTTCCTCGTCTCGAAAGTACCGATCTCGAAACCACCAGGGTCAGTCCAAATCCATCAGGAAGTGTAATATGTGCCTTACATCTTGCACACTTTGAGAAATGATGTCCTGCACCAAGGATCCAGAAGTACCCAACAAAAGGAAGATCACTGTTTGGCCGCAATGGCTGGCTGTCCTCACGAGTAAGTCTTCAATCGTTAAACAAACTTTAATTATAAAAGTATATATAAGTATTGATAAGTATTGACAAGTAGAAATATTGACAATATTGATATAAGTATTGACAAATAGAAATATTTACGAATAATGGATCGTCAGTTTCCAAATATTTTTGACGTTATTTAACAAAGCAAATATATACATAAAGTACACGTAATATAAGATACACATATAGATAAAATTACATAATAATTATTTTAAAAAGTTACATTTCACGGATTAATTTAATTTTAATATATGTCATACAGAATGTGTTAAATTCTGCTATCTGTATCACACTGATGACCCGGGTTGTATGTAATTCTTGAAATATATCATATCAAAATTTTGCAATTTTTCATTGAATTATATTGAGAGTGAGCTTTTCTTTGTTACTATCATCAAACAATATCATCCTTTGTTTACGTTTCTTTATTTACGTTTATCAGTCTTTTCAAACATTATAAGATTAATATTCACAAATGGACTGTCGAAAATGATCGAATCGTTTACCTAACTAAATTGATGAACTTATCTGATAATAAAATAACAAATCTTAAAAAGATCATCAAAGACCCTTACGCAAGATTAAACTTAAAATGTGTGTGTGATGCGCGCACACGCGCGCGCGTGTGTGTGTGTGTGTGTGTATGTGAGTGCATGCGTGTGTCGTGCGAGTGTATATGTGTAGTGAAATTTATAAAGAAATATTTTAACGATAATTCGCTTAAATTCAAGTCTTATGTAGGAATCTTTGTTAATCTTATCAGAATCTGTTATTTTAATGTATAATAATGTATAATTAGTAATATTATAATTAATAGCAATATATAATTTAATATATAATATATTTATCAATTTAGTAAAACGAAAGACTCATACAATATTTCAACAGAATACGAACTTTTAATATAATAAATATATACATATTTAATACAAAATTTACTTGTGGAACAGATTATCATACTTCTCAAACATTTTTTTTATATAATAATGTTTATTTATTAATCAATTTTTAACAAACAATGCGCGACATTAACATCTTTTTAGTGTTTACCAAGACTTGAAAAAATCCGGAAAAAGAAGAAAATAATATGCTTTTTTTCGATTTTGTACCGAGCTTAAAATAATTCTTTTTTTTTTTTAAGAAAAAATTAACATTTTATATTCATTTAAATAATATCATATACTCAAGTGCCATTAAAAAAATTGTATTAAAACTATATATGATAGAATGGAGAAAATTTAATATCATATATACTTTTATATTTTTTCTGCAATTATTAGGATAATAATATAATTGACAGAAGATTCTCGATGATATATATCAAATACAGTACAGTCGGTCACAGAACAGTTGCATTTTTTACATGTTTCGAAACACATAAAAATAAGATGAAACGAACCTATGATTTACGAACATTAGATATGTAAGAAAAATCTGTTGCAACCGTCCTGTGACCGACTGTACACAATAAATTGTATGAAGTTTTTCATGCTCTTAACTCCTC